GTGATGTCATCATGGGAGGCTATGACTCCCCACGAAAACAGGCTGAAACTTCAGGCGGTCTTTTCAAACAGCTCTTACATTATTATTCCAACCTCATAGTGTGGAAATATATATAAAACACAGGAAAATCTAGTTTTTGACTGCACTGGGCCTTTAAATCAGAGGACCAGCTCATTATGCAATGGAACTGTGTCAAATATATAATTGATACCATCCCATTAATTCCATTCCAGCCATTTCTATGAGCTGTCCTCCCTTCATCAGTCTCCACACATTCACACACACCTCCAACCTATTGGTAGTAGTAATGAACTGGTGAATGATTTGTGATGACATGTCAGCTGGGTCAGACTGAGGATAACTATCCCCTTAGAGACACGCGTGACTTCCTTAATCCTCCTCATGGACTTAGTGGATATGATCCGGACCACTGGGGAATGTCCGGGTGCAAATAGGGTTGTGGGAAAATGGGAGTTAGAGAAAATATGTTCCACTGTTGTTTCAACCACAGCCCCCAACTCTACAATAGGTTTCACAGTCATGTGGATGCATGCCTGACAGCAGAGGAGATGTCCATAACCTCAATGTCTTAAAGCTACAATTTGTAACTTTTCGGGCAACCTGACCAAATTCACATAGAAATGTGAGTTGTAGATCTTTCATTCCCGTTGAACGCAAGTCTAAGAAGCGGTAGATATGTTCTATGTGTGCTATTTCTATGCTTCCCATTCTGAAGTTTCGTTTTTGTGTCTTTTACTTTCGGTTTTGTACACCAGCTTCAAACAGCTGAATATACAATATTTTTGGTTATGGAAAATACATTTAAAAGCGGTTTAGATGGTACAATGATTCTCTACACAATGAATGAAATTAGGCAAACTATTATAGTTTTAGCAACTAGGAAATGGCAGAGCGATTTCTGCATAGTGCATCTTTGAATAGATAAGTTCCAATAAAAAGCTATTAAAGATGCACTATGCAGAAATCGCTCTGCCATTTCCTGTTTGCAGAAATTCTAATAGTTCGCCTAATTTCAGTTTATGTGACAAAACAAACAGTCATTGTGTAGATAATCATTGTACCATCTAAACCACTGTGAAATATATTTTCCATAACCAAAAATATTGTATATTCAGCTGTATGAAGCTGGTGTACAAAACCGATTTTAAAAGACACAAAAACTTCAGAACGGGAAGCCTGGAAATTGCACACATAGAATGGGCACAATAGGGTAGATATCTTCATAACGTGTTCTTCAAATATAGTTCTAAAAATAATAAATGCGTTGTTTAACACAAAATACTCCCTGATGAAAATATGATCCCCTTAATGGGGTAAAACGTGTTCATGCTTACCTTGTCCTTTAATCAATGGACCTTTTGTGCAGTGCAGTTTTTCATTCTTAACGATAGGAAAAGTTCTCAAAAGTTGGTGGACAAAACATTTGGATCGACTTCCTCCCGACTTTAGTACCCTAGTTACTTCTTTCTTCAACTATTTTGAAGAAATTGATGATCTGATTTCGCATGTAGCCTAGTCCAGTTATTCTTCAGCTCTCCAGGCAGTGTGCCCAGTTAAATTTACAAACTGCTACAGCAGCATACCTCAGTCCTCTGCTTTCCATGTTCACGCATCCAACTCACCGCCCACCTAAACAAGGGACGCTCTATTAAAAGAGTTTGTGTGGGGACTAACGGTACAGTGACTACTCTTAACGTCAGTCCCACAGGAGGACTTTTATATTGTATGTGAAACTGCTAAACTCTTTGTAGTGGAGTTTTTCCTAATTCAATTAATTGGCTATAATCACATGCCGTCTAAATCAGATAGGCTACTGTAATACATCAGTCTGAATACCGCCAGAAAGTAACCCAGTAGCACCCCAAGTGGATAATAAGACAGCTTGACCTGCTTATTATACCCATAAGTGTATCTAACTGAACAGAAATATAAACGCAACATACAACCAATTTCTAAGATTTTACTGAGCTCAAGTTCATTTACAGAAATCAGTCAATAAAATAAATTCAGTAGGACCTAATCTATGGATTTCACAACTGGGCATGGGTGGGCCTGGGAGGGCATAGGCCCACCCACTGGGGAGCCAGGCCCAGCCAGTCAGAATGAGTTTTTCCCCACAAAAGGGCTTTATTACAGACAAAAACTCCTCAGCACCCCCTCAGATGATCCCGCAGGTGAAGAAGCCGGATGTGGAGGTTCTCTAAAACAATTAGAGGCGGCTTATGGTAGAGAAATGAACATTCTATTCTCTGGCAACAGCTCTGGTGGACATTCCTGCAGTCAGCATGCCAATGCACGCTCCCTCAAAACTTTAGAAATCTGTGGTATTGTGTTGTGTGACAAAACTGCACATTTTAGTGGCTTTTTATTGTCTCCAGTACAAGGTGCACCTGTGTAATTATCATGTTGTTCAATCAGCTTTTTGATATGCCACACCTGTCAGGTGGATGGATTATCTTGGCAAAGGAGAAATGCTCACTAAGAGGGACGTAAAACATTTGTGCACAACATATGATAGAAATAAGCATTTTGTGTGTATGGAAAATGTCTGGGATTTTTTATTTCAGCTCATGAAACATGGGACCAACACTTTACATGTTGCGTTTATATTTTTGTTCAGTGTAATATACTGTAAACCTAGGCTACTGTAACTGAAGTGTTTGCCATGCACCATTGAATTTCACAAAATACACACACAAATTCAATTTGATATGCACACATTCAGTCATAACAATGACACGATTCAATATGAAATTACAAACAATTGGTCATTGTTTATTGAGAAAATATTAGTTTACAATATTAGTTGAAAACAATTTTCATTATCTTGCAGAATGAATGCACTGCAATTAAATCCTTTCCATCACACAAACGTTTTAAGAGAGATAAATACAATTTCATAACCAGAAAATGAAAAGATGTTGAAATAAGCAATCAATTTTCAGTGCATTTAATGGTTGATTAAAATTTGCTATAATTCCATAGTGTCTTATTACATTCTTTGATGTCCAGGCAACCACACAAATTCCTATTGCATGGAAAGGGAAACATCTCACCCAAACATTCTTCATTTTATAAGATTAGGCTACACTACTTTCTTCAGCAATGACAGAGTATGTCAATGTGCAAACAAACTTACACAAATATTATCTTGAGGCACATGAAATGGTACTAGGAAGAAATTCAGAATTGAAACTGAGGAATACCAAGCAAAGATACATGACAAGGAGCATGATGGAGCAAGACAAACTGTCTACAAGGGTTGTATTCATTAGGACACATCGTAATAAAACGTTTTGCAACCGGAATGGAAAACATGCATTTCTTCCGTTTGGTGCCTAATGAACATGACCTAACTCAAGAGGCAGCCATTCAGTAAACTTGCACTGTTGGATGAAGACAAAGATAGTGAGAGTTCACCCTCTCTCCTGTGTCACTAGAAGAAGGCACAGTTAGGTTAACAATATTAGAAGGCAATAGTCTATGGCTTGAATCACCCACTCCAATTACAAAGCACACTTCAAATGAACCTGGTTTACTATTCATATTGAACACTGCATCATGATATAATCTCACAATTAATCATATTTATTAAACAGCCTAAAATGAAATGTCACCATGGATTGATTTCAATGTCACTCATCAAGTAATGGTTATAAAACATTTCCTTTCTAACAAATGGCTTTATTTTTCCACAACACATTAACACTCACTTATTTGAATCTTGAACATATAAAACAAATCATCCACTTTAACTTAACAGTGTTTACTCTTGCAGGTGCATTGACCATATAAATACTAGTATCTTGCGGAAACAGTCTTGTCACAAGAGAGATTTGGTTTTGAGTTCCAAGATGATGTGATTATGTAAGATGACATTTGTATGATTATATAAGATACTAATCAATAACACAATATATTTGATAACATACAATCACTCAGTAATCACGTTGATGTACCAATGGAATCACCTCCTAGGATCGAGAATTAACCAAGAATAAATAACACATAATAACACAAATGTATATTTACTGTCCTAATGATACAGAGTTGCATTATCAAAGTCAGAAAATTATAACATGTAAACAAATAAGAAATTGAAAAATATTACGTTTTCAAGTAGATAGAATCAATAAATGACATTACATACCAGCAGAGTTAAAAGGTTCATTAATATAAAATACAAATATATTTGTATGTTATTATTCAAATATCATGAGAGAATACATAATTCTATTTTTGGTTTTGATTATTCATTTACCACAATCCTCTAAACATTCTCAAAGTGCATAGGTTACTCATGTGACTGCAAACAATTACCAAATAGCAATTACTAAAACAATAATTTCCTCCATCTCTACTGTTAGTAGTTTTAAAATGGTACTATACAGTACAATGAAACTGCCCGCTATGCAGTTGTGTTTAATAAACTCAATGAAAAGTACCTACACAAAATAATAATACCCAAGTTACTTGGGTAAGATGAATTTATAATTACGGTAATTCTAAAAATATATATTTTTCAGGGAAATAAATGACAGTTGACTGAAATGTTTATAGACTATACTTTCGACAGTCCAGATGCATCTGCAGTTTTGTTATATGAAATTGGGTCATGTTCATTGGGGCAAGCAATGGCAAATGTTTTAAAACAGTTCGCAGTGGAAAACAAAAATGAGTCCAGGTAGTTCCTCCCGGTTTCGGTACGTTTTCTTTCATTTCGTGCCTAGTGAACCTGACCCTGATAACAATCAAACACAAATCGCCATGTAAAGACTCGGGTCCTATTGAAAGCTATTCCCTGTAAGAAAGTTTGAGGCATTGAAAATAGACCACAACAAAGTTGACAGAGAAACATACTGATTAAGAGCGGCAAGCAAATGCACTCAAAGGAGATCTTAAAAAGAGCACAGACTGGATGTGTGACACAACACCGGATCTAACACACACACACACACACACACACACACACACACACACGAACCTGTAGGAAACCATTGCAACTCACTGATTGTAATTGTCCCAATGGGGGGCAGATCATTGAGGGAATGGGGAGTTATCTGGCGTGGTCACACGGTGTAATCTAGCTCGGCATTCATCTTGGTGTACATCTCATAGATGGTATCATTAGCGGCAGTAAAGTTGACTAGAAACTGTCGGATTTTGGCCAGGCAGTCCTCTTCCTTGACCATACGCCCCTTGGACAGTGCCTTCAGGAAATCCACCTTGTAGGGAGCTGCGAAAACGGCTGCCTACAGCGGAAGACATTCAAGTAAAGTCAGTTCAAAATGCAGACTAGTCAGAATCATAAACAAAGTTGACTTTTAGACCTCAGGGAAGGTGACATCACTTAAACGATGGCCGCTACTAGCACAACGAACTAACTACCAATCAAGCTCAAATAAGCTACACTTGCACAGTTGAAATGGCAACGGAGAAGCTGTGTAATCAAGCAGTAATCTAAAGCAATCATGCTATGGTGAGAGCGCTTACCTTGAAGAGCTTCTGCACCAGCCAACCATGGTACTTCTTCAGGGCCAGCTCATAGGCTTTGGTGCAATTGACCCGGATGAGGTTGGGGTTGTTTTCGTCCTTCTCCCCATCCACCAGACTCTGCAGCAGGACCTGGATGAACCGGAGTCCCCTGGTCAATGATGAACAAGGAAACAAACAAATCACATATCAGACAGATGGTACAAATGTGGACCAACATACAGTGTATCTAAGTAGACAGACTCAAGGGTAACACTGAGAACCTTCAGTTAGATCGCTATTATCTAACCTTCAGGTAGAACGCTTTATAATAAAGCGATTAGGTAGATCGCTTTATTATTATTATAAGCAGATTTGAGGCTTTATAATGTCTTATAATAAGGATGATATAAATATCCCTCTATCGAAATTTCAACTAAATCAAAACGGCTGGTACTTATTAGAATCATTATGAGATGACGCCGAGATGTTATAAGGGGATCGTATGCTCATGACAAGTCTTATAATGCATTATAACTGCATCATAATGCATTACAGCTGTAGGCTTTAAGTAAAATGTTACCGACTCTAGTTCCAAAAATACAAAGTTATCTGACCTCTTTAGCCACATAAGTGCCAGGGTGGCTCCCACTTTGGGCCAGTCTGCTCCATGCATCTCCTTCTCTGCCTCCAGGATTTTTTGGAGGGTCTTGAACCTGCTAGGGTTGCTGTCATAAACCGCTTTGATTGTCTAAACAGGGATAGTACAGTAACATAGTTGTTTGTTTCCTTATGGATCTAAGGTTACCAGTTTGCACTTTGACCATATGAAAATGTTGCTGTAGGCTACTTACTGTGATGTTCCCTACAATGTCTGCTTTAATTGGAGCAAAAACAGTAGAGCCAAGGCAGTCTGTCGAGAGATGTCAAAATACCATGTTTGCCAGTACTGGAGAAATAACATCCTGCACAATTCACATGTCAGCATTCCTGCAAAACTATTTTGCTGAAACCAATCCCAACAAGAGGATGCAGTATCTCTATGTCTGAAAAGTAGTATGGAGCTGCGGGTCGAAGTATTGTTTCTTCATCCTAAGTAATGTATTCCCAGTGAATTTGGTGAGTCCCCCCCCGTTCAGAGAAATTAGTAATTGAAGTTGTTAGGTAAATGTCCCATTCTACATCCTGATATTCCCAGGTTCTGACCACTAGATGGTGCTGTTCCTGCTATTAGGTGATCATTTTTTAAATGACAAGGTATGACAGCAACCCATGCTTTGGTTTTGTTTACCTGGCCACTGTTTCAAATGCTAACTTTTTAGTATTTGTGGCACAAATCCAATGCAAGTCAATGGTACCTATATTAGCATTTTCACACTTCATATCCAAATCATCTATAAGTAACATCATTGAGATAAACAATCAATGTTTAGATACAATTTAGGATGCTTAAACATGGTGTGAAAATGCTAATATAGGTACCATTGATTTGCATTGGATTTGTGCCACAATTGCTAAAAAGTTAGCAGTTGAATCAAAACCAAAGCATGGGTTGCTGTCATACCTTGTCAATAGACTGCTTACAGGGTAAGGAAACCAATGTCATTTTGTAATTTGGGTTTACTATCCCTTTAACATTGAAAGCGGGGGAATCTTCAAACTTGTTTCACCTATTAGCAGGAACAGCACCATGTAGTGGTCAGAACTTGGTAATATCAGGATGTAGGATAGGACATAAACCTAACAACTTCACAGACACATTTCTCTGAAATATGGAAAATAAACATCACCAAATTCACTGGGAATACATTACATGGATGAAGAAACAAAGAATACTCTGAGGGGCAGCTCCATACTATATACTGATACTATATACTCGCTGTTGCGGTGGGATTGGCGTGGGGTGTCTAACTCATTGTTAGAAAAAGGTTTGGTCCAAATCAGATGCTTGGTACTATATTTATTGAATATTATATGAATCCTATAAATTAAAATGGTCAATTTGGATGCAATCAATTTGCTTAGTTAGCTGAAATTATACTTCAACAAAATGATCTTGCAGGAATGCTAATCTTATCTGTTTCTAATAACAGAAATTATTTCAGAACAATCTGAGATGGTGGGTGTGCTTTTTGAGGTGGAACGACCCAGAGAAAGACGGAGAGACAGAGAAAGAGGACTACCTGTAGCGTCGATGGGCCATGTCCCTTGAAGATTAACAATGTGGCCTAATAAGCCGCTATGCTCTGTCAAATACTTTTGTGAGAGGCATACATTCGCAAAACAAAGCTTTTTCATTAGAACTAGAAAAAAACACAGGGTTGAGACAAATAGAGTATATGAGCATTCTGAGCTGCATCCTGATCATGTTTTTAAATGCTTTTGATACAAAATGGTAGGTCGACAGCAAACTCTTATTGAACTTTAAAATCAACAAAATGCTAAATAATTCACTCTGCTCCGAGCACCTGACAGATTTCTGAAAGCACCAGAGAGACTCATAAAACTTTAAGTAGGTCCTAGTATCATGCCAAATCCAATGGGTCTAATCCAATGCGTCCCATCATTGGCCCTAGGCCTATCTCTGCAACCGGAAAAGGAAATATATCCTAACATCATCTGTCTCTTTGAACCTTGGTGAGATCTCAAACAGGACCAACATTTTCAAACAGTTTTTTCTTCTTCATAGCAAGGTATAGGCTAGTTCTGTATAGCAACCTACCTATGTGCATTCCGTTTAAATACTTCCAACAGTTTGTAACAATGCCTTTCTTCGCTTAGCCTTATCTATTAGGAGATTTGGCCAAGCAACTATCACCACCATTTACATAACTACATAAAAAGGGGTCCTGGCCAGTCATTTGGGGTAGCCCAGTGGACAACCAACATTCCGACCACACAAGGCTTAAAGTGGAGAACAACTGACACAACTGTTAGCCCTCAGCCCCAGAAGGCTATTGTGACAGAGTGCTGTCCATTGTGCTAGTGGTACCGGTGTCTTCTCTAGTTACAGAGAAGCCCCACCTTTGTCCTTATCATTTAGAGATAGACGTGCCTCTATCTATCCTTAATGTTATTCATTCATGATTACATTTAAGTCATTTAGCAGACGCTCTTATCCAGAGCGACTTACAAATGATTACCACCAAAGATGCCCATCTCTCGGCTTCCACCCCATACAATGAAACCCCTTTCTCTCAATTGCTTCCACATAATACTTGTGTGCTTGTGCGGTTGCATTGGAAGGTCCAGGCTATGTGATGAAAGCAGAGGTCATCAATTGTATTATCTTTGAATCCTAACAACATCAAATGTAAATATACAACTGAGTTAAAGGTTGGTGGAAAAACAAAGAAGATCCTAGGCATATCCTCCAAGAGCTTTGGAATGACAACATTATATAGGCTAGTCACAACTCAATGTAGCAGTTATGTATAATTGAGTTGTGACTGTGAGTATATCATAAAGACACTAAATTCGAAACAGAGGACACAAATGAAACCATACAAACACTTATCCAGTTTCTTGAGTTGATACGGTCAAAAGGAAAGTTGGCTAAGGAATTATTAGGTCAGTTGGGTCAATGAGAACGAAATGGAAATATGTTAATATCAACACCAGACTTGGGTCTTTTCAGGGGTTTCACATGCCCAATTCAATAGAGTATCTTTGGCATATTAATACAGGATGCAGCCACACAATGATGCCCCAGTAGGCTACATAGCCAGTGAATGGCCAAGGGGAACTCAACACCGCGCTAATCAATTTTAACAACTTCAAATCGAGGCCAGTGAATTACATTATTAATGCAAAAGGTTTGTTGACTGCTTGATAAAGAGTCATACGATCCAAAAAAGATTGTCCCTTGTGGCATTTAATTGCTTGGGATTGACAGAGGTGTTTTGACAGATTCTCACATTCTGAAATTCCAAAAGCAAACAATCCCACAGGCAAATCAGACTATGAAGCTAATTTAAGTCAGTTTTCTACATTTAGGAATGCTTCTCCTCACTCCTGGTATTCTCAAGTCAATCAAATGTTGATAACACTACTCTTGCATGCATACACAATATTGAGAGAAAAATATTTGCCAATGACAAGTTGATGGCTAACCACAAGAGTATGATCATAAATTCTGTCTTCATCCATGACGGGCTGTAGTAAATGGTGTTGCTTAATGGACAATATATTGTTTGTTGCAACAAAGTAACGGTTCGTTTAATGCAACAAAATAGCGAGCGATTTGGGTGGTCGTCCATGCATAGGCTGAGGCTAGAATTCATGTAGCAAGCTCAAATCATAGTTTGCAAGCTAATTACTTACCAAAGAATGGCGGAAGATACGACACCGACTCCAAGAATGATCTAGTTTCCACTTGTTTATCGACTGGAAGCTGTTTAAATTGGTGCTCCATAAGAAGAGCCATCGTTAACACTATACACAAACCCTCTGACAATAACAGCGACCAGTGAAGTGATTTGTAAAACCCGGAACTGGCACCGAAGTGAGTTCATGAGCCTCTCCCACGGTGTACGCCCCTCTCTGGTCTGAAAGCTGCCTGGAAAGCACAGAAGCTCACCACGCAGAATCAGAATGTCCATTTAAATAGGTGGGAAGCAGTGCACCAATCATGTGAGAGAGGCAGGTCAAAACACTACATGGAATTTTGCATAGCTCTCTATCTGACAGCAGAACAACGTCTCAACATGTAGTACATGATGTACTAGTAGTCTATGCAACTTGTAAAAGCTGCCTTTTTTAAATGCTGGGAGCTGGTCAGGGAGCTGGGTACATCATTATATGGTCAGGTGGAATCTATCCGGGGGTGTAATCATTAGCCAAACAGTTGCAACTAAAACAAGAGTTTATATTGGACAAATTCAGATAGCTCCCTCCCTGTTTAGTTCTGTTTAAGAAACGTTTTGCATCAGAATCGACTTAATTAATACGCCCCTGTTGTTTGCAGCATTGGTGTCAGAAGATGGATGATGCTCGCTCATGTGGCCATGGAAAAGGACTTGTGATGTAGGTATTCCTGCAATTATCTAGTGATCAACAATACAATTAGAATAAAATGAGCATACTATATTCAAATTGAACTCATTGTGCACTGATAGACGTTTCACAGAGAAAGGAAGATAAAACCTTTTACTTCTGGTCCATTTTCTTCTAAATCCTTGATTTAGCAGATACCGATGACAAAGGCCTACAATTATCTGGTCCCCATTAAATATTTAGCCATGTATAAATAATTTATCAGACAATTATGTCTCCACTTCAGGCCTACTCCTGTTGAGCTTCTTTATGCAATGTGGAATCACAACCAGGTGACAATGGGCCCAGAAAGGATTTGCATAATATTACTGCAGGAAATGTACTCTGGCAAATTCGGAGGCTCTAACCAGGTCACTGCGACTGTCAGTCCAACACATTACCTGCTATGCCTAGACCTCTTGACAAGGTCGCTAGGTGTTGTACTTATACGTGTATACACACAACCCGTCTTCAGAAAGCTCGTCCAGTCCCACATTTCACTCTAACAAGTCCCTTGACCTTGCTCCTACGTTGGGATATGCTGTCGAAGACTACCCCTTAAAGTTTCTCACACTGAACGCTTGGAACATATTCTCGATGTCATCCTTCTTCTGACACCAATGTAGCGAAGTCAGAGGGCACATTGAACCCCGGACATTGAACTGTCACCCAACCCTTAGCCGTTACACAGAGATCTGAACACTCTTAGTGAGGTCGTTAGGTGTTTGGTTAGCATCGCTACAGTATGTTGCACTGGCCAATATGAAGGCAAGCGCTGTTCCTGTCGCTGATTTGTCCCAATCAGGGATCACACCTACCCATCACCTCACTAACCAATCAAATCAATAAATCAATCAAAACCTGTTTTCGCTTTGTCATTATGGGGTATTTTGTGTAGATTGATGAGATTTTTATTTTTTATTTATTTTAGAATAAGGCTGTAATGTAACAAAATGTGGAAAAAGTCAACGGGTCTGAATACTTTCCGAATGCACTGTAGTAACCTGAAGTAACCCCTCCATTGAAACCTGCAGCACGAGGAGGCAGCCCATGAGGAGAAGAGGCACTTTGAGAACGAATACGAGAGGAGTCGACGGGAGGCACTGGAGAGGATGAAGCAGGCAGAGAGAAGGAAGCAGAGGACAGGGAGAGAGCCCTGGAGCTCCGGAAACAGATGGAAGAACTCAAGCTCTGGGAGGAAGAAGTAGACAAGCAGGTGTTGGTCGGACTCTGGGCACTGTAGTTCTGCAGAGGAGGAAAATGGTGTTACAAACCATAAGAAGAAGCACCGTAGACGGTGTAGTGCACTGAGTAAAGCAGGACTATGGAGACGAGTCAAGTGACACTAGCCTCATTTGCGGCTATTGCAGTGTTACTACTGGTCTAGTGTGACTGAGCCGCTATGTTGTCTCTGTTTTCCAGGCAAGCCCTCTGAAGAAGGAGCAGGAGGCCCTGCTGTCCCAGCACTGGGAGGTGGAGAAGCTGGAAGGAGGAGAGGAAGAAGGTGGAGGAGTGCTGCAAGAAATCTGAAATGGGGTAAGTGACTCTCCCATTGGAAGAGTTTGTTCTAGGATGATGACAATAAATTAACCAGATGGACTGAAAAGGCCATGAACTGTTGTTCTTATGGATAAAACTGTTTCCTTCCTCAGGCAATTCTGGACCCGCCATTATCGTGCCCAACTGAAGAGGAGAGCCCAGCTGGTATGTTCCCTTGTTTTTTTAAAAAAAACTGCTCAACTGCATGTGAATTGACACGATGGGATCATCCCCCTTCACCAAAGTGACCTCTGCTTGCAATGCCTGTGTCGTCCACCAGGAGGTGGACTGCAGGATCCTGGCAAACCTGCTGGCTGGAGGGGGAGCAGGAGGACCAGCGGCTGGAGAGCACGTGGCGTGAGAGGGCAGTGGCGGACGTCGCCTGGAAGAAGCATGTCATCGAGGAGCAACTCCAGCTGGAGAGAGGGTGGGAGGCAGAGTTTGATGTCCTGTACCGGTTAGTAGTATCACTACTATCATGACTCCCACTGCCAGTCTAGGTCTGACTAGGGGATGGAGATCTGCATTTCGTGTTGCAAAGTTAATTGAATGTCTTGTCCTGTCCTGTCAGGGAGAAGTTCCAGCGTGTTTGGGAGAAGCGGGAGGCAGTGTGGGAGAAGGAGAGGAGAGCCAGGGAGAGGCTCATGCAGGAGGTGAGTGGACCTGAGGGGAGGGCATGTGCAAATGCACGTTTCTCTGCACTCATGGAAGTTGCACATCACAAAATAGTACACATAGACAAGGTTGTACAGTACGTGGCCAAATACGACATGGCATGAGGTTACAATTATAAATTACATTTATTTTAAAAATAAGGCTTTTTTCCCCCACTGCAGCTATGATAACTGCATGACTGACACCTCTGTTTGAAGTCCATTCAGAACAAGAGTCAAGCACAGAGGGACATTTCCTTGATCACATTTCAAGTATAACACAGCTCTGAACCATCTGCTGATGACGACGACCATCCACTTGCAGAATTGTAGTGGAGATATGTACAGGGGATATCTACAATCCTATCCAAATAGTTGCACATTTCATATAAACCTAGCAGCATTACAGAACGGAGCACAAAAACACATGGAAGAGGGCAAATTATTATTTGCGCTGCAAATCTATCTACTGTCACAGCACTAACACTGTTCTAGCACACAAGACCGTGTCTAGCATATTAGCTTATAAAAAAAGTTTTTTTTTTTTTTTTTTTTAGCACTACAACTCAATACAAGTACAACACATTGCTGGTAAAGAGCATTATTCCCCCCCCCCCCCCCCAAACAAGTGTTGAAATGCAATAATAGGCATAGATAGTTCTAGTAGATGCATTTTGAAATGAAAGCGATTACACTTGGACGGGGGAGACATTGGCATTGCAGGGATACAAATATGTGCACAGATGAGAAATGGTTCAACGTCAGTTCCAAATCGCCCTACATTCCTCCCAACATTCCTTCCTACGCTTGCTGGAATTTTATTAAATGATACATTATAATTCCATAGTTAGGTTATAGTATAATGATATTATGTAGCTCCAAGGTGTGTAAAGTTTGTTAGACACTGATAATGGCTTTATGGCTTATTCATAGCTTTCACAACATCCTTAACCATGTGGAATACTATACTGGACCGCATTACATTTGCTTGCGGGACGCATTTGGCCTGGGGGCTGCCAGTTTGAGACCCCTGGTTCCGACAAGGAGCATCAAAATGGATGAAAGGCCTTTGTAAGAAGGATGGTATAGGTGTTAGGGAGCTAAAAAACATGGCTTCTTCGTTGGTGAGAGAGAAATACTGGATCTAGAAGTATGTAGAACCACAAAAAACTATTAAGAAGTGCGGTTAGGAAACTGCACATTAGCGACAAAGGATCTCCCTGGAACGCGCAATCATCTTGTCAGTATTTGGCTGTACTGTGGATTCCTGTAGTAGCTCACGACAAACAGCTTCTCCCTTCCAGTTTGTAGAGCTCCGGATGATTTCCCATAGCTGTAGTTCAGTCTTTCTGTCCCAATATTTATACTCTATCATTTTGTACATTTGTATTTAAATAGAAAATGACATGCAAATATCACCAACACTGATTTTTAAAATGCCACAGTAAAACAATGCATTTTTTTAAACAGAAAAGTTAAAGGACGAACAATACATTAACAAAATGGAGACGTTACAGGGCCTTAGGGTATCTAAAAGGCCTGAGACGGTGGTCATGATGGTCAGTTGCTGTTCTCCTTGGTGGTAATGGTGACGAGCTGCTTGGCAGCTTTGGCAATGTCATAGGCACACTGGATAACCTGCTGGGTGACCAGCTGCATGTCGGGCCCTGGGCCTTCCTCGGGGGGCGATGCCTTCCGACACTCACCCTGGAGCCGGAAGGCGCTGGACGTCAACAGGCGCAGGGGGCCTCTCACCATCTCCGAACGTGGTCTCTGGAAAGCACAAGGTGAGATGAGGAGGTTACAGGTAACCAATAAGGGGTTCAACACATCATGCGACTGTGAGCTGACCTGGGTTGTGTTCATTAGGCATCACACGGAAGAGAAACTCATTTTCCGTTGCAAAACATTTTGAAATACCTTTGCATGTCAGTGATGATGGTACCATGGAGCGTTTTGTGAGCTTACCTTGGAAAAGAGAGCGGCCATCTCCGTCACAGCCACATATATTCTTTCGGAGCAGGGTATAAAGCTGGAAGAGGAAAGGCATCAGGAGGATGGTGGTTAATAAGACAATCAGTCTCTTAATGTCATCATTATTTCATGGAGAAAAGCCGAAACAACTTGCAATAAAAAGTTACCTCTTGCGATCCCAAAACAACACTATTCAAAACATGTTTTTAGTCTAGGTGAAGAGGGGAGGCAAAATACAATTCAACACTCGCAGAGCTACATGCTGAAAAACAAACTGCAGTCCCAGGTTAGTGCTTGGTTAATCTATTATACTATTCCAAATATTGCATTCTGACATGGTCAGACAACAGCTGCCATAATGAATGTAGCCTGGGTGCCAATCTGTTTCTGCACTATGGAGTTGGCAAGAGAGCAGAAACAGTGGCACCGAAGCTATAATTCACAGTTCAAAGACAGGAGTGAGGGACCAGAGCTGATCATGTGTGATGAACTATCAGCTACGCCAAAACAATAATACAAATAAATAAATAATAATTGCTCATTTGGATATTAGACTACAGGGCACAATTCCTTAACCTAAACACATACAGAAATTATCTTATAAAATTGATAAGACTGCTTGTATTCATGATGTACTTGGTGATGGACTACTATGGATTCAACTAGCTCCAGCTCTACTCTAAACACACGGAATACCAATTAAACAAACCGTGGGTACCTTGAATATCATTAGCCCTTTGATGGGTTGTCTGAGTTTTCTAGTTTTGAGGTAGTGGTGTTTGCACTGATGTTTGCAACGGGAGAAATGAAGAGAGTAGGTGAGTGAGCGTTCATTAGGATTAGCCTTTCACTCTAATGCCTAGCAGACAACACACCATAGCAAAGGAGGAAATCAGTCATCGGAATTGGGCAACAGAGCAGGGGCAGGAAAGACAGAGAAGGTGTGTGTGAGAGAGAGGGAGGAGACAGTGTGCCTGGGAGGCAGGGACAGAGGCCAGTAGAGTACCAGGCGGCAGGATCGGGGGAGCACAGGCTGAGGGGCTGCAGGGGAGAGGGGGCCTTCTCAGCCCAGGGCACCAGGGTGCTGAAACAGCCCAGACTGTGCCTGAGCCGGCGCACACGCTCACAAGGTCTGCTTACAGGAATGGGATAGGGGAGGGGAGGAGAGAGCAACCCCCCCCCGAAAGAACGAAATGCCAGCACAGAGGACAGGAGAAGAGAGGAGGGAGGAGGGGAGAACACAGAAAAAGTGGAAGAGGTGAAATCATAGGGAGGATTAAAAAACACTGAACCAAGAAGACATACTGTAAAATGCAGAACTTTAATAAACAAACAGTGACAGTGGGGGAACTCAAGAAGAATCTAGAAAGTGGAAGTACTTTGATGAATACACAAAAGGGAAAAGGCGAAGCTGCAATAATGAATTCGGTTAAAACAAAAGGGGGGTGACTATCTGGAACTTTTCAGGAAACACAGAAAAAGCCTAGTTTATCTCCATAGAGATAGTTACAACATAGAGCTCTATTTAATTTGGCTTCAGTGTTCGATCTTGTGGCCCGCCACTTCTTCCTCACCTGTCGTGCTTGTTCTCCTGCGCGGCGCGGAGCAGCTCCTGGATGTTCTTGGTGATCTGCTCCGTCTTGCGGATGACATCCTCAGTGCTGGGAAGCGCTGGGTCCGGCTCTGCCCCCAGGTCGTCCAGCTCAGGGATGGAGCTGCCCTCCCCCAGCCAACCACTGCTCCTCAGCCTCCCCCGCCTGCCCATACTGCTAGGGGGGTAGAGACAGGGTCATCCGGGATGCTACTACAATCTCTGCACCCCTACATCCAGCCCTAACTGTCCACCTGATGTGCAACACAGAAAGCAGTGGCAACTTCAAAGTGACAAAGTGTGTGTGTGTTCCTACCCAGAGTCCTCCATCTCATAGTCATTGTTTGTGTTGTCATAGTCACTGTCTGGCATGCTGCTCTGCTTGTCCAGCTTGGAGGCCTAACATGAGAGGGAGAGAGAACTAGAGTAACAAAATGTGTCACAGGGACAAATGTCAATGATAATGCAAGCAGAAAATGGATATAGAATGCTAGATAAAATCCCCTATTTCAATGCAATGCATCATACAAACAATTGCATTATATTCTAGGCCTAAACGTAAATAGGAGCTGACAGAAATGTGACTTTGAAACAGTTTTACTAACAACTTACATTGTTGTATGGCAGTGACAAATTAAATGAACTAAAACCATGGGAAAGCAACATGGAGAACGAGTCAACAAACAAACAAAAGCCTGGAAGCAAAACAGAAAATCATAGTGAAGCCTTTTACATTTCATTGCCAGGGTTAGTAAAAAGAGGTTATCCGGGGTTCAAAAAATTGCAAGTTCAATGTCTATAAGCTACTGTGACAGAAACCACACTGGCAAATGGAATGGCTGATTGATTGATTGGTACCATGCCAAGTGGGGATGCTAGGCTGGTTCAATGTCTACAAATACCTTTGAACTCCTGCGTGTAAAAGATGGAGACTTGTAGACAATATTAAAAACACAGTAGTAGCCTGAGCCATGGCGAAGAATGAAGGGCCAAATGCATAGTCCAGGAAAAGCTTCAAACCCCCCTTTTTAAAGGCATACGCCAAGACAGATGAAGTCAGGGATGTTTGAGGAGAGAGAAATCACTGGATAGCTATCACACAGAAAAAAAACAACCTCCACTGAATTACATCAGAACCATGATCCATTATTTTCCAGAACTCTGATCCAAGACTTTCATTAAAGAGTCATAACTTTCATGACATTGAATCAAGGTTCCGATGAATTCGGGTCAAAAGCTGACAAGTCTAGGGGGAAAAAAGCACTGCGACAATGGACAATTGTGTGGCACAAATTGAACGTAAGTCAATTGGCTAAGACAATTGGCTAAGACAATGCTGATGGAGATACTGCTTCACAAATGTGTATTTGTCCATCTAAAGTCGGCTGTACTCAATACGCAATACTGTGTGCTCCATCCAGCCTGTAAGCATTTGTGCTGCGTCACGAGACTGGTGGATAACATCGCTTGAGCTTTACTCTAGTATCAGATAGGAAGCTTTGGGTGCACAACACTGACCCTGCATTGTCACATCCACGCAGATCCCTCACCCTTTCAGCACAGAAGAGAAAATATGTAGAGGAGGTGCATTTCAAAAGAAAGGAGCAGAGACAAACACCCAGAGAGGGACACAAGCCACATACCGTACAGTTACATACCCTTTCCAGCCTAGCCCAATAGACCCGCTCATACAACATCCTCTTCCTGTCTGCAGGGCAAGATGCCAAACCCCTCACAAACACACAATACAGCAAACTGCTGAAAGTGGGATTAGCTGTATTAAGTGTTTTGTTCATTTCACTCCCACTGGACTTGCAGTTCTGCGCATATGTCAGTCAAAGGCCCTGTCCAGAAACAACCCCTAGCCCCTACCCCCTAGACACTTGTGGATATCTGAGAAGATTGAGCAATATGGTGATAGCTCCACCTTGCCCTCTGATAGGTTAGGTGGAATTGTTATCACATTGCTTAAACCTATTAAATCCTCTCAGATCTTTTCACAAGATCTCAGAAAGTGTCTAGGGGTAGGGGCTATGGGTTGTTTGTTTCTGGACAGGTCCACAGTCTCAGCGAGGAACAGACTCCTGGATAACTGGAGAGTTTGGGTGTTACTAGAGGCGAGGGAGGGCATGCTGGATGAAGCTCACTGTGCGACAGCCGTGTGCTGATTAGAGATGGAGAAAAGAGATCATACATTTAAAAACGTATAGAAAAATGTTGGCTCTGGAGGTGGAAGGAGCTCAAGGCCTTTTTTGGTTTAACAGCATGAGGAATTTGGGAAAATGTAAAAAAACGTGAAAAATCTCAATAGGCTGACTGCTTAACCTGGCAGCTGGTCTCACGGAGGGTAGGCAAACCTTTGCATTGAGATGGGTATGTGATCTTGACTCTACACTGAAAACCTTCTAGCTGATTGTAACAGGCATGAGGATGAGGACAGTGATGGTGGAGATATGTATGAGTGGTTGTGGTGAAGGGAAGGCAGCCCATGGCTCATGCAGCACAGCAGGACAGGTAGGGAGGGAGGGAGGAGGAGGAGGGCAGGGGCTCCCCCCAGTGGATTTGCTGCGTCCCGAGAGGCAAGAACCAAGTTAGGAGGTACTTAACCCTTAGAGCACTTTCGTCCCGAGACCAGGACAGGGTGGATGGGAAGGAGGGGAGGGATGAAGAGGTCACAAAAGCGCCCCTTCCCGTCTAGAAAGGGGTTCAAATTATATGTTTTAAAAAGATAAAACAAAAATATGTTTAAGAAATGAAACAAAAATGGGTTTTTAAAAAAGTAGTTAGTGCTCTCAAGAACAAAGTCTTGTTCAAACTACTTCATGCAAATAACAGGGTTTGGGAGCACTAAAATAAAATAAAAAAATCATTCAAGAAAACAAAACCATAGTAAGAATGAAGAACACCATAAATTGTGATTATGAACGAGACTGTATGACAAGGAATTAGACTTAAATAACTGCATTACAATTCCTTGTTGGATCTGAGCATACTGTACCTCAAATCCCATACCTTGAACATAATAAACATCTAGACAATGAACATATTTTATTATTTGGTATGACATAGTACACATTTGTTTCCATAGACATTGAAAGGGGCAATCCGGGATTCGAAAAACAACAAAGCACACCCACCACCTGTTTTGGTGAACAGCTGAGGGATGGGGCTGGAGAAATGCAAACAGATCGACCGAGCTACAGAGGAAAGGACAGACCATCCATGAGATCAAAGGGTATAGTTTAAACATTTTTTTAAGCTATAGACTATTGTTTACAATTACATTGTTAACAAACAATGGTGTGAAACAATCTTGCACTTTGAGTTCTGACAGTGTAGGACAAATAGATGTACCAATTCCGGATTGCCCCTCTTAAAATACTGTACCAGAACTAAGTGATTCGTTACAATTAGAAAAACACAAAATTCCCCTTTGTTTAAAGAGAAATGACAATACACCTGGATTTAGAACCATAAATGAGCTTGCTAGTCACACAGACAGAATAAAATAAACACTCTGAACAAATTTCAATGGGATGTTTAATTCTTATTTGAAGTTACATGAAAACCTTCAAAATATTTCAGATTCAACCTTGAAATAACAAGTGGGATCATGACTTCTTTCCTATTGTCTACCTGAGAAAATGTTTGAACAGAGAGTACTCCAAGAGAGTACTTTGAATACCTTAAAATGCACCCATCCGTTTCTTTGAGGAAATCACTGATCTAACACATTAACATTGGTGAAAGCAACATAGTGGAAATGTTTCACACATCCATTCACTTATAGATCAGTGATTATCTCAAGGAGGAAGAGAGAGGAAGGATGCATGTTAAAGGCATTGGAACAGGGCCCAATAAACACTGTCGAAACCAACAGCCCGGAGAAGAATCCTATGAGACTGCAGCCATTCAGAGCAGACACTGAGTTGAGAGTGGCTGTGTGTGTGACCTGTGTGCTTGGCATTGTATTGGCTGATTATCACTGCCAGGTCCCAAATAATAGCTACAGGCAAACATTACCGGTACACCAAAGAACAACAGATTTCAGTAAAAGCAGAAAGGAAATGGAACAATCAGAGAAAAAAGGACTGCAGAAACAGATACAATGAGAAAAGAGGAGGAGGAGGAGAAGAAGAAGACTAGGTGAAAATGGGAGAGGAAATGGCAAAGGAGGCTGGATGCGGGATTTTTACTTACATGAGGTGGGAGGAAGGGTTGCAGGGTGGGGACACCCTCCTCTGGGTAGGGGGTGTCCCCCTTAGGGAGGTAGGGCTTCAGGCCTGAGCCAGTCTCATAAATAGACATGGACATGGGCCGACCTGCACGCGCTGACTGCTGGCGCTTCATGGCCGAGGGGCTGGAGGAAGAAGGGTCAGTGTACTCTGACCCGCTGTTGATGGGGACCTGATAGATATGGGTGGTTGGGCCCTGCCGCCTGAGAGACGTGTTCTCACTTTGCAGCGATTGCAGCTGGAAGAGACGGGTCAGCAAATACACTAAGAGGGCGCTTTTCTTATCAGAGAGCAAGGTGATTTGGTTTTCTAGCTTTAATGCATGCTTTATTCTCCACAGGGCGAATCCTAACTTTCACTTAAGTTGAATTTCACTTGAATTGATGTCAATAGGAGACCAAGTGAAAATTAGACTAAAGCAGAAGTTAGGATTGGTCCCCATTTCCCTACCTCTAAATGTTTACTTCAGGTGTTGAACTGTCAGCATCCATCTGTACGAAGCTAAGGCCAGAGCCAATGTTATAGGCTACTACTCATGTCTTTATAACATCGTCTTGTTAAGCATTTCCCCCCTGGTGTTACTCATGCTAGGCATCCGAAAACTCCACTCAAAAAGCTAGGGGTAAGAGCAAGCAGAAAGTGTTGCAGGCAAGCCAAACAGTTCAGATAGCTCGATAGATAGATAGCTCGATAGATAGATAGATAGATAGATAGATCTCAATGGTGCCCTCTATCCAACCCTATGGTTTGTGCTATTTGTTCAGAGAGGGCAATGGGGAAGTTCTCTGACAGCTAAGAAAGACTATCGAATCGGCCATCAGTTTTTTGAAGGATTCACGACCCAGGACAAAGAAGGGCTTCAAAAGGCACGATATGGAGCCTGTAAGTCTGCAACAACAGCTATTCAAATCACGACAAAATTAGCTCACCACCTTGTAAAGGCATAACCCTATATTTCTATGGTTACTCGATCTGTCTTTTAAAAGGTCGTTTGTCACCATTTATGCCTTTTAGGTTGAACAGAGGCTGTTGATTGGGGCAATGATAGTTTTGTCTATTCCCAATCAAGTGGTGGGGCTGCTGTTGGGCTGAAACACACACTGTGGATTGTGGCTTTAAATCATTAAGGATTTAGTATAATAAATCATAGGGGTCATATGGATAGGGAAGTGACAGTACTCCTGGGCATTTAAGATTAGAATGAATGGACACAGGGGCCCTGATCCTAGATCAGCACTCCTACTCTGAGACACTTTATGAATACAGCTTTGTTGTTAGGAAACAATCAGCTGTAAAGATTCTGTTTAAAACCACAGCAGAGGACCATTGGACTGTTTTCGAATGACAAGGCAAATGCTGCACCTGTATAACAATAAGAGCTGTGTTATCTCACACCTTCAAGAGGAGCATTCTGATGAGCTAACATTAAGTGTAAAAGAACATCCCTTATAATTGATAAGCTTGTTGAAATCATAATGCAGGATCAAACAGATAGAACACAAAATAATAACAACGCTATGCTTACTATGTTAGTCACCATGGAAACGACGAGGGGAGGGGAAACTCACAGTGCGAGTGATGTCATGCTGATTACTTGAGCATGCCTGTTAGTCGTACCATAAGAAATTACACAGCTTTTAGTGTATGATACACTGGGAGGGATATCGTTTTCCACAATAGAGTGGAGTGGAGCAAGAATGCATCTCTTTAACACAAGTTTTAAAAAAATATATATAACAAGAATTTGTCAAGCTATAGAAGCCATTGTCTGAACATGGACTGAAACATGCTGGCCCAAACAGTGGAGCTAGATGGAGAGCAGTCTTGCCTTGCAGGAGAACCTTCCCAGCAGCCTGGTGGTTACTGGTTAGGACCCTCATTAGAACCACAGTGTGTGAAGGGAGGTTACCGTGAGGGGAGGGACCAGAGCTCGGCTGATCAACCACTGTGCCACCCCCCCAGTCCAACCCTCCGTCTCATTGGCCGAGTGGCGGACGGACCGAACGGTGTTAGTGATCTGATTGGTGGATCTCTGCAGTGGGCGGTACCTTTTTCTGCATCAGCCGCAGCTCGTCGCTCAGGTTGCTGTTGACCTTCATCAGCTGCTGGATCTTGGCCTCAGAGGCCGACAGAGCGTTCTTCACCTCCAGGAACTCCTGCACCGTGACAGGCCCGTCTGACGGTTCCGAGTCCAGACTCTGTAGGGGGAAAAGTCAGAGGGTGGGCTTTAGGACTTGTCTGAGTCCAGACTGCAGGCGCTCATTTTCAGGACAACAAGTAAGTACTACCTGAAACCCTTTACTTGGTTTGCGTGCCAAGCGATCACATTAGTTACCTTGGTCCGGTCCTTGCCCGAGGGTGGCTCCTTATCCGTGTCCTCGTCAGAGGCCACGCTGTCGTAATCTGGTTGGTCGTTGTCCAGACCCTCGCTGCCACTCCGGCTGCTCACACTTTTTAGGATAAGTTCAACATTTTCTGTAACCACAACAAAGCAAATGACACCTTTCTCATTTCGAATAAAGAAGACATGCAATTTTTATTATGACCATAAGCCATGTGTGTCTGAGGTAGTAGGTCCATTATCATCCAGTACTTTACCTTTGGGACTTGTGGTCGAGTTCCCCAGCTGTCGACGTTTCGAGTCACTTAATATGTCGATGACAAGAGTTGCAAATTCATGTGCGTTGAATCTCGCAAGCTTTTGCCGTCCCTGGAGAAAAAAATAAGAAAAAAGCATAGCAAAATGCATCCTCTCCTTGTGCATCTGATGAAACTTCACTGAGACAACCGAGAATCAGTCATATTTAAAAGGAGAGAGAAAAACAGCGAGGGGAATATATTTAACTAAAGCAATCAGTATCAAAGTGTTTACTAGGGAAGGAGGTATGCAGCAGACTTGCCTGGTTTCGTGTTGATGAGTACTCTGGGTTCACAGGAAGGAAAGGCACCACTGTGGTCTCTGTCACCAGGGTACTGTGGTTCTGCGTCGCCAGCCATACTGTGCAGAACATAGGAGTGTTGCATAAGGGCCATGTTCATTAGGAAACGCAAACGGAAAACAAAAATGTGTGTTTCTTATTGGATAAGTCTAGGTAGTCCCTCCCTGTTTCAGTCCGTTTGGTGCCAAATGAACACCACCCAGATGTTTGACTGGACATGGTGGACTGAATGCTAAAAAACATGCACCGACGTTACTCCACATCACTGTCTGTCCGTCTTACCTGCATCCGTCTCCCTTCGGTCCACCTCGTCATACACGTCCATCGCCAGCTCCTCAAATAAATGATTACTGAGCTGAAATGAAATGTGTGATTTGTGAAAACAACCCAGAACTAGTTCTATGAATATGTTTTGATTACATATGTCTCTAGATTGTAATATCATACATCTTATCCATTCAAATCTTAAAGTAAACACTTACAGACTGGAGTTTCTTCTTTGCCGTCTTTGCCAGTTCTGATAAATCTAAACTGCTATACATGGAAAACATAAATCAGCTTAGCCTCTAATGTTGAATGGGAGGGGAAATGGTCAAACCTAATTATGATAAAATACTTACATGTTCCTTATCCATCAAGACAGCATAAAAAAAGACAACATGTTTTGTTTGAGTTCAAATATCAGAACTATGCTATAATAAGTTAATAATATGCTATAATAAGACCAGAAAGGTACCAACTGGAACGATTTAGCTCAGATATGCATTATTATTATGGTGCAATAACGACACTGGGAACGTTCACATGCACACTAGTCAGATTAATATAATAGTTCGATTAAAACATTTACATGCTTTGCAAGAAGAACGATTTCCCTAATAATCCGGTTTACAGGGACACATCTGAAATCAAAATAAATGTTCTACCACAGCGACCATGTTATTTTTGGGAAGCCATTTTGATTGAGTTCGGACATATGAAGTTTGTATGTGATAACTATTTCTAAGATGCGTACTTTCAGTTTTTCCGAACTTACTTCACTCGCGCAAAAGAGAGGCTTGCGCTGCTGGTGCTAGCACATGCCCAGACCAAATACACAGCTGGAACTCTGATTATGGTGTTTATATATTTTATTTTTTTATATGTCCTAATAATTAGAACAATTGCTCTGAAAACCAGGTATTTTAATTGGTGTGTGCTTACTTAAATTATGACCTTACACCAATTAAGATAAGCATAGTAAGGTGTTTACATGACTAATGCCATACTCGGCCTATTGCCATAATCACTTTCATATCTAATTATTAGTGGGCATGTAAATGTACTCAATGATTTAAGGGGAAGATTATGATCTTGACAACATGCAACAATTGTTTCAGCCTGTTTCCTCTCATGCCTGTTACAAAAAGCCACAAAACATGTCCTGGCAGGCCCTGGAATTGGATTGCACTGTCAAACAGCTCACGGTTTCTTTGCCCCAAAAAAACACATTTAAAACTTCACCCACTTTACTTATCCAAGAACAAGCCCCCCCAAAGTGCTATTTCATTAGTCTGGTCCCAGATCAGTTTAAGCGGTCTTGCCAACTCCTATGGTCATTGTCATTTGACATGGCAACGACCATAGGGTTCGGCTATACAGCACAAACAGTCTGGGACCAGGCCACTATTTCATACATCGAGCCACACAATGCTTCCTTCCTTACCTGTCGGCCATCTGTGGGACGATGAAGTGAAGGCCATTTTTATGATCTGAAAGCAAGCACGGATGGGTTGTTGGGATTAGAACCCTCATGGGAGATACTGTAAGCGATCAGTTGAGTAACCCCCGAAACTAGGCTGCAAACGTTGTGCATTGTTTCTTGCCTGCTAAACCAGAATCATATCACAGAGGCAAAAATCTAAAGCGCATATATGCTTCACAGAGGCATGTCTCTGCCCTAGAAATAGTCTTGAAGCGGAAAAATAATGTTTAGCGACCCAAGCTTTGCTTCACTGACGTGCTGCTTCTGTGGCTGGTGTAGCATGTCTCATTGATTACTGTGGGTTTGTTTCAACTGTGGCTGACGGACGTTAGGATAAGCGGACACGCAACACTTGCAGTCTAATTTGAGGAGGCGAAAGCGTCTCCTCACTTACTAGGCTTTCTCCCACAGAGATAGAATGCCAGTCTGTCAGTAAGTTCATACTGGATCTCCACCAGCCTATCAGCCAGGTCATGGTAGCCAGCTTGCCTGAGAAAGAGACACACAATAGAAATCCGTTATGCCTTTTTTCTTGCCCATAAAGCCCATAAAAGCCTGCCTGGTCGCATAGCCACTAAAACATAAAAATTACTTGGATAAAATAAGTTACCATTTCTAAATGTTAAACTATCCCTTTAACGGCTGGTTGATGCAGTACCTTGCATAGTCGATGGGGGTCTTGGTGTTAGTGTCGGGAGCTCCGGGGTCGGCCCCGTAGACGGTCAGCAGCTCCGCCTGAGACACCTGCCCTGCCTTGGCAGCCACATGCAGCGGCGTATTCCCTTTTTCCTGGAGAAAAGGTAAGATACCACCCATATGTGAACAATTAAAACGGGGAAAAAAAATACAGAAGTTTACATACACTTAGGTTGGAGTCATTAAAACTCGTTTTTCAACCACTCCACACATTTCTTGTTAACAAACTATAGTTTTGGCAAGTCGGTTAGGACATCTACTTTGTGCATGACACAAGTAATTTTTCCAACAATTGTTTACAGACAGATTATTTCACTTTTAATTCACTGTATCACAATTCCAGTGGGTCAGAAGTTTTAAACAGCTTGGAAAATTCCATAAAATGATGTCATGGCTTTAGAAGCTTCTGATAGGGTAATTGACATCATTTGAGTCAACCTGTGGATGTATTTCAAGGCCTACCTTCAAACTCAGTGCTTCTTTGCTTGACATCATGGGAAAATCAAAATAAATCAGCCAAGACCTCAGAAAAAAATGTGTAGACCTCCACAAGTCTGGTTAATCCTTGGGAGCATTTTTCAAATGCCTGAAGGTACCACGTTCATCTGTACAAACAATAGCACGCAAGTATAAACACCATGGGACCACGCAGCCGTCATACCGCTCAGGAAGGAGACGCATTCTGTCTCCTAGAGATGAACGTACTTTGGTGCGAAAAGTGCAAATCAATCCCAGAACAACAGCAAAGGACCTTGTGAAGATGCTGGAGGAAACAGGTACAAAAATATCTATATCCACAGTAAAACGAGTCCTATATCGACATAACCTGAAAGGCCGCTCAGCAAGGAAGAAGCCACTGCACAAAAACCACCATATAAAAGCCAGACTACGGTTTGCAACTGCACATGGGGACAAAGATCGTACTTTTCTGATGAAACATAAATAGAACTGTTTGGCCATTATGACCATCATTATGTTTGGAGGAAAAAGGGGGTTGCTTGCAAGCCGAAGAACACCATCCCAACCGTGAAGCACGGGGGTGGCAGCATCATGATGTGGGGGTACTTTGCTGCAGGAGGGACTGGTGCACTTCACAAAATAGATGGCATCATGAGGAACGAATATTAGGTGGATATATTGAAGCAACATCTCAAGACATCAGTCAGGAAGTTAAAGCTTGGTCGCAAATCGGTCTTCCAAATGGACAATGACCCCAAGCATACTTCCAAAGTTGTGGCACAATGGCTTAAGGACAACAAAGTCAAGGTATTGGAGTGGCCATCACAAAGCACTGACCTCAATCCTATGGAAATGTATGGGCAGAACTGAAAAAAGCGTGCGAGCAAGGAGGCCTACAAACCTGACGCAGTTACACCAGCTCTGTCAGGAGGAATGGGCCAAAATTCACCCAACTTATTGTGGGAAGCTTGTGGAAGGCTACCCGACACATTTGACCCAAGTTAAACAATTTAAAGGCAATGCTACCAAATACTAATTGAGTGTATGTAAACTTCTGACCCACTGGGAACGTGATGAAATAAATAAAAGCTGAAATAAATCATTCACTCTACTATTATTCTGACATTTCACATTCTTAAAATAAAGTGGTGATCCTAACTGACCTAAGACAGGGAATCTTTACTAGGATTAAATGTCAGGAATTGTGAAAAACTGAGTTTTGGCTAAGGTGTATGTAAACTTCAGACTTCAACTGTAGATAGGGTATGAGAAAGGGTAAGGGTCGGTTCACACTGCTTGTGGACATAAACAGACATTTAATTGGTTGTAGTGTAAGGTTGCAATTAATCCAATGAAAAGGCTTCCTTTTTGGCATCGTTTTTTTCCACAAGCAGTGTGAACGGTCCTTCACTCTTTCTATTAAGTTGCTCTCGTACCTGTGTAGGAAAGCAGTATTTACGGAAGTAACACTGTTGTATTCACATGTTGTTAAGGATATGTTTAGAAGCTGGATGGGGGAGAAATTAGATCTCTTACTGGGTGAAAGAAATTGGCCTGGGCTCCCAGAGAGAGTAACCTCAGACATGTCTCCAAGTTACCAGTGCGGACACTGGAGTGAAGTTGCTGAGGAAAAATAAAATCAACATTTATTAGTAAAATATTGCTCATTCAAGCTTGATACTCTTTCATTAGGGAGTTGTGTGGGCACAGAGTGGCCGAAGTCTCACCTTGCTTAAGTCCTTGGCTGTGAAGCTGTCGTCATCTCGACAAGGCATCCGGTGGACAAAAGCCAGCATTTGGTATTTGGCCTTTATGAAGTCTGTCTTGTTTGGGCTTCGGGAATAACATAAAACAGAGGGGGGTTAACAGAACAGCAGAGCGTTGTAGGAGGATTTCAATTGAAGCACTTCAATTTCAAGCAACAATCACTCTTAGGTTCAGGTGAATTGACTCAACCATAAGTTAACTGAAGCAATTCAGGTTTCTCCAGCATTGAGTGTTCCTGCTGAAAACCCATACACATTTCATGCTATCGTGCTGACCCAAACCAGCACTTTGGTGGATGTGTATCCAGGCCAGTGCAGTTCAGTCTGGTTCGGATCAGCTCAGTAGTGTGAAAAAGGTACTAGTGCAGGGTTTCTTAAACTAGGGTTTGGGACACAAAGTGGGCCCTGAGCATGTGAGAGGTGGGTCTCGGGTTATGAGTAAACATTTATAATCACACACCTATTTCTTCTTAATTTGGGTCGTTCTAGGACAGTCAGTTTCTCATTTGGGTCTCGAGCTGAAAAAGCTTATGAACCTCTCTACTAGTGTAACTGGGCCAATTGCCTCTCCTTCACTGGTGAACAAGGCTGCACTCCTCGCTCACTCGGCAGCCATCAAACCCTCATGACTCACTGCACTTTGTCCTGAGGGTTGGCCTTCCGTTTCCCACTCATCACCGACGCCGGGTCCAGTAGACAGTGCTCCCATATCGAATTTGCACCGTTGTTGTATAACGTCTGAACCATCTATTTATAAAGACAAAGAGATATGATCCATTAAATGAAATATACAGACAGCCTATTCTGTCATGAAAGCAGAAAAGGGGACACCTTTGACCAAGGTAAATATAGTGTGTGTGTGTGTGTGTGTGTGTGTGTGTGCGGTGGAGATCTTACTTGTAGCTGTGTAGGAGGCCATGGTGTGTGAGTCAGGTGACGTACTTGGGAGCTGTGTCTTCCCAGACTCCGATGAACACTACAGCACTCGTCGCAGATCAACACGCCCCTGTTCACAGAGGCCCAGCGAGGCTCTAAGCAGAAAGGAAACAAATACGTACACTAAATAAATACAAAGACATTCATCTGAATATTTCATCACCTCAATTGCAAAGCCTTATTTAGCTTTCGTTCATTCATTTGTAATCCCACGTAGTTAATATACTGAGAAGGATCTGTGGGAGTAAATGCACTGACACAGTGCTTGTACCAAGTTCTCATAACCTATAGCTTAATAATCACTCATTTTAATAACTGGGCAATTCCACGGTAACGGAATTGCGCTAAGATTTAAATATTTCACTTAAAATGTATTCCAAACAAAAACCCTTGATTTCAAAGTTCAACTCTATGCACACGGAGTACTTTTAACAATTTACACTGAACATTTAACAAAAACACATTTACTGGAAGAACTGTGCAGATGCAAAGTTTTCATACAAATTTCCTCATTTTTTTTGTGTGTAAACATTTTCCAAAAACTCTTAAATATCTTAAGATTCAACCATGTCTGCAGGAAGAATGGGGTGTCAGCTATGACACGACACACCTACTTTGAAAAAATTGTGACATTTATATTAGTTTTTGACTTCGGTAAGGGTTTTTTCGGTTGTTCGGGCACACAACATTTTTTCCTTGAGGCAAGCCGGAGTCGGTAGCCGAAGTCTACGCCCCTTCGTCGGTGATTGGTCAGCAGTAGGGATTGTTAGGTAAAGTCTTTGTCATTCAACGAGAGAGGACTCGTTTTCATGCACATTTTTCTTTGAGAAATACTGCACCAAACATCTTAGATGTAAAACTGCGCGACTAAGATCTCCACGTCAAATTTAGTGACAGATTTCTTGAGTTATCTTAGATTAATTTGTCCTATTTTGAGGAAGTGTATACTGGATACGGCGTCTCAAAATGGACAAACAGTACTATTGTCACTTTTTTCTAGTTTTTCAAGATTATGTGTTTTAAGAAAGTATCCGAGCACAATTGTTCTGTTTGCCTAGCCGACTTCGGCTAGCCGGCAGGCGAACTGAAACATGCTGACGCCTTTACACAATCACAGCTTATCTTGGTTTCTTACACCTTCCTTATGACTGGGTTTTTCCACTGCTCCTCACATTCATTATTCAAATCTCTGGCATGCCGCCTTTGGCATCTAGGCCACTTCACTTCTCACTCAGCTGCAAACTCACTCTGGCCCCAGCCTTTCCATTCTTGTGGCATCCCAGTTAGGCTACATTGATGGGACAGCCGTCCCAGACACACCCTTGGAATCTATACGCCTGAGGTCTAACTGGTCCTGTTTAGATGCCTTTGTTGATAAAGGAAACCCTATTTAGGCTAATGTAACCTGGAGACAACCTCGGGCACACTATTCTGATAGCAGAGTGAGGCATCTAGTCTGGTCAGTTAACTTATTGTGACACTTTTATTTCACAGCTGCCATATACAGTGTATTCGGAAAGTATTCAGACCCCTTGACTTTTTCCACATTTTGTTACATTACAGCCTTATTCTAAAATGTATTAAATAGTTTTTTTTTCATCATCAATCTACACACAATACCCCATAAAGCAAAAACAGGTTATATTTTTTAGCAACTGTATTTTAAAAACCCCGGAAATATCACATTTACATAATTATTCAGACCCTTTACTCAGTACTTTGTTGAACAACCTTTTGGCAGCGTCTTCTTGGATATGACGCTACAAGCTTGGCACACCTGTATTTGGGGAGTTTCTCCCATTCTTCTCTACAGATCCTCTCTAGATCTATCAGGCTGGATGAGGAGCGTCACTGCACAGCTATTTTCAGGTCTCTCCAGAGATGTTAGATCGGGTTCACGTCCGGGCTCTGGCTGGGCCACTTAAGGATATTCAGACTTTCCCCGAAGCCACTTCTGCATTGTCTTGGCTGTGTGCTTAGGGTCGTTGTCCTGTTGGAAGGTGAACCTTCGCCCCAGTCTGAAATCCAGAGCGCTCTGGAGCAGGTTTTCATCAAGGATCTTTCTGTACTTTGCTCCGTTTATCTTTCCCTCGATCCTGACAAGTCTCCCAGTCCCTGCCGCTGAAAAACATCATGATGCTGCCACCACCATGCTTCACCGTAGGGATGGTGCCAGGTTTCCTCCAGACGTGATGCTTGGCATTCAGGCCAAAGAGTTCAATCTTGGTTTCATCAGACCATATAATCTTGTTTCTCATGGTCTGAGAGTGGCTTCCGTCTTGGCAATCTATCATAAAGGCCTGATTGGTGGAGTGCTGCAGAGATGGTTGTCCTTCTGGAAGATTCTCCCATCTCCACAGAGGAACTCTTGAGCTCTGTCAGAGTGACCATCAGGTTCTTGGTCACCTCCCTGACCAAGGCCCTTCTCCCCCGATTGCTCAGTTTGGCCGGGTGGCCAGCTCTAGGAAGAGTCTTGGTGGTTCAAAACTTATTCCATTTAAGAATGATGGTAGCCACTTTGTTCTTGGGGACCGTCAATGCTGCAGAAATGTTTTGGTACCTTTCCCCAGATCTGTGCCTCAACACAATCCTGTCTTGGCGCTCTACGGACAATTCCTTCGACCTCATTGCTTGGTTTTTTGCTCTGACATGCACTGTCAACTGTGGGACCTTATATAGACAGGTGTGTGCCTTTCCAAATAATGCTAATCAATTGAATTTACCACAGGTGGACTCCAATCAAGTTGCAGAAACATCTCAAGTATGATCAATGGAAACAGGATGCACCTGAGCTCAATTTCGAGTCTCATAGCAAAGGGTCTGAATACTTATGTGAATAAGGTATTTCTGTTTTTAGTTTTGTATAAATAAGCAAACATTTCTAAAAACCTGTTTTCGCTTTGTCATTATGGGGTATTGTGAAACGTAACAAAATGTGGGAAAGGGGAAGGGGTCTGAATACTTTCCGATTGCACTGTAATTACAATGCTAGTCATAAGAAATAGCAAATAGCTCCCATATACACTCAGTCTCCAGTTTATTAGGTACACCATCCCGTTCACGAAAATGGTTTGCTCCTACAGACAGTGAGTCACGTGGCCATGGCTTGCTATATAAAGCAGCCATACAGGCATCGAGGCATTCAGTTACTGTTTGATTGAACGTTAGAATGGGCAAAACGAGGCTGGTGGCGGTGGTGTAATTGTGTGTGGAATATTTACCTGGCACAGGATAAGTCCCTTGATACCAATTGAGCAACGTTTCCATGCCCTGAAGAATTCAGGCTGTTCTGGAGGCAAAGGGGGGTTCGACCCGGTACTAGATGGGTGTACCTAATAAACCGGCCACTGAGTGTATAGGCCTATAGCCTTTTATATATATATATATATATATATATATATATAATAATAAATAACTGTTCACTACATTTAGGTAGTGGAGTCATGCAGACTGCAAGGGGGAAGTTAAACCACACACTTCCATATATGGACAGTGTCAAACAGACTGCTCCAAAATCTCGTCCTCTTATGTTTTGTAGCTGAGAGAGCAAAAGAGACATTTCCTCTTTCACTGACTTCCGTCCAACCAGCCACAAAATATGTGCACTTTAGAGGCATGTGCACTCCACCAACCAATATATGGGGATGGTAGTCTCATTCTAGGCTCATGATGGTATATTGAAGGGGTCTGTGTGGATTTTTAATGACAAAAGGACTGAGCAAGAGAGACATTCAGCGTAGATCACACAGAGCTTCAAAGATAATCGCTAACTGCAGAGAGAAATGAAACTTGTTTGAACTTGCGCACACCGTGCTGCTGGTAAAGTAACAGCAAACACACACAGAGAGGGAGGGATAGGCCTACTGAGACAGACACAGACCATACAGCATGAGAATGCTCACTTACAGTCTCTTCAAAAGACAAAAAAGTCAGTATTAAAAGGCTTGCCATTATATTTCTCTGACGTCCTACTTGAAGCAGCAGTCTTTCCCCTAGTTTAATTTCTTTCAAGGTGTGGCGCAAAGGCCTCCAAAACATGCTAATGTAGGCTAATCCTGACCCCATAGCATCAACATTTGTCAATTGAAACCAATAGAAGGCAAGCTTCCTTTTAGGTAGGGGGCAACAGAAGTAACATGAGGACTGCCTCAATGCCCCAGGCCTGCATTCTCCTCATCATGTGACCCCATAAGCACAAGGAGAGAAGTGATCAACTGATCTGCATCTCCATTTAGAGAACTCTCTATGTTCTCTACAACTGAGCCCTAGAGTCAAAACTAAATAGGCTAGGCTGTGGTTTCGCTTCTAAACCTGTTTAGAAATATATTGAACAAAAATATATACGCAACATGTAAAGTGTTGGTCCCATGTTTCATGAGCTGGAATAACAGATCCCAGAAATGTTACATACGCACATAAAGGTTATTTCTCTCAAATGTTGTGCACAAATTTGTTTACATCCCTGTTAGTGAGCATTTCTCCTTTGCCAAGATAATCCATCCACCTGACAGGTGTGGCATATCAAGAAGCTGATTAAACAGCATAATCCTTACACAGGTGCACCTTCTGCTGGGGACAATAAAAGGCCACTCTAAAATATGCAGTTTTGTCACACAACACAATGCCACATCCAGCTTCTTCACCTACAGGATCGTCTGAGACCAGCCACCCGGACAGCAGAGGAAACTGTGGGTTTGCACAACCGAATAATTTCTGCACAAACTGAAACTGTCTCAGGGAAGCTCATCTGTGTGCTCGTCGTCCTCACCAAGGTCTTAACCCGACTGCAGTTCGGCATCGTAACCGACTCCAGTGGGCAAATGCTCACCTTTGATGACCACTGGCACGCTGGAGAAGTGTGCTCGTCACTAATGAATTCCGGTTTCAGATGTACCGGCAGAGGGCGTTGTGTGGGCGAGTGGTTTGCTGATGTCAACGTGCCCCATGGTGGCGTTTGGGTTATGGTATGGGCAGGCATAAGCTACGGACAATGAACACAATTGCATTTTATCGATGGCAACTTGAATACAGAGATACCGTGACGAGATTCTGAGGCCCATTGTAGTGCCATTCACGGCCCCATGTAGAAAGGA